AGTTAACACAGCAAATAAGATATCCCCTATATTAAAATTTGTTTCGTTACAGCCTCAAAGAACTTCCCTATAGGTGTTACCATCTGCCTCTAGCTCCTACTCTTTATGCACAATCTTCATTCTCACGAATTTCGAACTGTACCTTGCACTGAAACAATGTTAAAAATAATTAGTAACACTGTGTGCTTACAAAACATTTCAGTTGCACAAGTGAAAATATTTAATCATAATCAAATAAACCAATGGGTGCACTGTATAAACTGATGTTTGTGGATTTCACTTTTTTACAGATAATTTCACGAACTTGTGAATATTTTGATTTTATCCAATAAAACATGTCTTTCATCATTGATACTAAAATCCTAGGTCAAGCTGTTTTTCCTCAAACATAAGGTAAGCACATTTGTTACTCTTACATTTTTAACAAAAATCCACCACCTACAGTATATACCCACACATACTCAGACCAACACAGGCTAAATACAGTATTCCATGGCAAAATGCCTTCAATGTTTTAGATGACCACAAACACAAGGAGCTGAAATATCACAATATTGTACTGCCATTTGCAAGTTTACTCACTCGCTATTGTTGCCATTACAAAAAATTAATATAGGCAAAAGCTAGCAAAACAATTACTATTCCACTTACATTTATAGCAACCTGCTTCATATTCTCTGCTGAGAAAGAACACAACTCTTTCATTACATGTGAAGGAATTATTTATACACTTAAGTGTACTTGAGGTGTCTAGCGAGTATTGCACAGTCTGCTACTCAGAAATTCTGTCACTACTTAGCTAGATAGTGTTAGCAATTATCCCTTGTCCTAGAAAGTTGTTCGATAGCTTCGAAAGTCACAACTATCTTTTGATCCTGTTTATCTTCCTATCAGCAAACTCTCCTAATTCTTTAATAATGAGTGGAGATCACACAATGTAGTACATATACTTCACTGTAAAACACCACTTGACAGCTCAGAAAGCAAGAAATACCACTTCCTTTCATTAAGTCTTCCAGTAGGTCAGCACTAGGCTTAAAGACTTATAATACAAAAATTTTGGGTTTGATTCCTCGTGGGTAGACAAAACACTAATTTAATGATTTTATAATCAAGCAACTGTCCTAGCTGTCAGTATAACAGTTAATTCTAGATATAATGGTCGAGAAGGGCGTCATGGGTGATGTGATCAACCATCATATCAACCTTGAATCTCCTCTCTAGGCACTTCTTTATCTGACTGATGTTGTACAACTACAAAATTACTCTCAGCACCTACACTATAAAATAGTTTTATAATTATCCTCTGATTGTTGGCCTCAACCTCGGACTTTTGGTCTAAACAATGCATTGAGATGTTCATCTGCAACACATAGTCTTAGTTTGTCAAAGTGTTCAACACACTTTTCGAGCTACATAACTTCTATAGCTCAAAACTTGATAACCATGTTGTCTGAGGACGAGATAAGGACCTGTCCAGCCATAATTGAGTTAAATCTGTGCTGGAACATTCATTCATTGCCTGTTTATTATAGCTGCTATATGGCTGCCTTTCTCAGCTGTTGATGACTGAATTTGTGCCTGTCAACTAAAACAGACTTTAACCACGTCACAATTCAAACAGATGCTGTAGCACATTTGCTCTAAAGAGCAGGTTATAGCTACAAAGAGTTGTTTTCCAAAAATGAGCATGCTAAGCAAACACACAGTAGATCTCTGCTCAGTTGCACAATAAATAATTATGACATACAGCAAGTGAAGTAGCTAATAATGCCCAATTTCCAGAGGGCCAAAGACATCCAGGGCTATTTTCTGAAAAGCAGAAACAACAATCCTTTAATGGAGCTTACCTTTTTTAAGCCAGATTTTCGTCTGGACAGTCCATACCAAAAATGGTTACACCAGAATTTAATGTCCCAACTCTAATATGGCTAATACAACTACCAATTCACATTAACACAGGTATGTGTAGCACTTTGAAGGCCTCCAGTCTTTTCATCAGGGCTGAAGCATTTCCTACCTAGTCAGGAGGAGCTGCTCACCACTTTATAAGACCGGGATGGCAAATAGGTTGTATGCATGCCAAACATGGCATACAGTTAAATTTTATTGGAATACTGAACCTCAGCAATAATGGAAGAAAGTTTTGAAAAAAAGAAAAAGAAAACGGATATAAGAATCTATGCTTGTAGTTTGAATCCTTACTAACTGAAACTCAGCCTTGGTTCACTCTGCATCACACCGAAACATCTGCCGATCTTTCACAAGTACGCACTCTTATTGTTATATTTTTGTTTGTTTTGTTTTTGTAGTTTAAGCACAAATCTACACAATGGGCTATCCAATTTCTAGCGTTGTAAGTCCGCAGACATACCACTGTGCCACTGCGGGGCCATTTCTTTATTCCTTAATGAACGCAATTGACATGAATGGCAGTGGCGTACGTACGTACTACATTCTTTTGATGCTTAACCTTTCGCGCCGTGCCATACCGGATATAACCCGGAGAAAATGTGCGATATTAATTTTTTAAAATTATTTCTGATTATTGTTATAAGTTTCTTCGAAAAACAATATTCAAATGGAAATGTTGAGAATTTAAATTTTATTTCAATGTAAGTTTTATTAACATTCGGCTTAGACGAAATAGATAGAAAAACGTTTGTTTGTAATTAAGCACAAAGCTACACAATGGGCTATCTGTGCTCTAGCCACCACGGGTATCGAAATCCGAATCCGCAGACATACCCATGTGCCACTGGGGGACAAGAAAAATGTAGATCTATGTATACATAAATATATGACACACTTGAAAGTATATAACCCTTTTTTTTATTTTGGAACGCTAGTTAAAACCTATTTGCAATCCTTATTATAAACGGCCTGGTGGTTAAGGTACTTGACTCGCAATCTCGCCCTTTCAGCCATGGGGGCATTATAATGCGACGGTCAATCCCACTATTCGTTGGTAAAAGAGTAGCCCAAGTGTTGGTGGAGGGTGGTGTTGACTAACTGCCTTCCTCTAGTCTATCACTACTAAATTAGGAACGGCCAGCGCAGATAGCTATCAAGTAGTTTTGCCCGAAATTCAAAAACAAAGAAACTGTTATAAACAGTCTGTGTGTTGTATGAACGAAGAGAAGGTTGATATTCTCCTTGATAAGGACGGAATGGCTCCTTGGCCTCAACACATATGTGATTAAGGCACTGCACCCTATTTTTGTACTCAGAAATTGTTTGACCATCTCACAGCATTATTTAATTTATCCATCAACTCTTGTTACATCCCAGCCTTTTGGAAACAAGCAAATGTTCTCATGTTTCTAAAAGGAGGAAACCAGCGAATAAACCAGGAATTTATCGTCCAATTAATCTGACTAGTTGTATAGACAACAATTGAGAAAGAATGATTAATAGTAGGCTCTCCATTTTTCTTGAGATCTCATCAGAATTACCAGAAGTTCAAAATGGTTTCAGAAAATTTCGGCAAACAACAGATCATTTGGTTCGATTAACAGAAACCATAATAGATAGTCTTAATCAAAATAAATTCACTGTCGCCTGCTTTCTCGATATAGAGAAAGCATTCGGCACTTTTTTTGCACAATGGTTTAATATATAAACTGAAACAATTGGAATTACTGTCAGGTGTTATTCGCTGGTTGTCTAACCTTTTAGAAAATAGAAAATGTCGAGTGAACGTAAAGGTTAGCTACTTCCGAGGCGGGTGTTCCCAGGGAGGGATAGTTAGCCCTGCCCTTTTCATCATCTTTGTAAGCGATATGCCATTAAATTTTCCTAAATTTAGCCTAAACTCACAATTCACTGATGATGTAGCGATATGGAAGAGTTACGCGACACCTTCGATTGCACCTCCAAACTCGCAGCCTGTTTTATATCAAATAGTCAAATATTGTTAAAAGCACTGAATAAAAATAAATGTTTCGAAAACGAACCTAGTCCTATTTACAAAATCAATTAAATCATTTACAAATCCTCCCGAGATATATCTGAACAGAACTCTTCTAAACGTCATAACATCAGCAAAATTAACCTGGAAAAATGATATCACACAAGTCAGGAACAAAGTGTGGCAAAGAGCAAACCATGTTAAGAGACTGACAGGTAAAAATACAATATAAGGAAATATAATAAAAATTTATGAACAATACATAAGATCTGTAATGGAACATACCTATCCTGCATGAACGATTGTAGCACCATCACACAGTAAGAAATTACAGACTAGACAAAATGCAGTAATCACCACAGCTTATAGGGTACCAAAAACAACAAATATAAAATTCATGCATAAATACTCAAACATTAAACCAATCCAAGACAAAATCGTAGATTGCTGGTTCGAATATTTTAATAAAATCTATATAAAAACGATCCACTAACCCCAATAGAACGCTATATCATACATGATGATGATAGTCCTAAGTACTTCTCTCCACTGAATTTCTACTATAAGAAAACGTCCACCTGTACTAGACCATAGAATATTGCTTAGCATTAGGTATCACCAGTGTATTTAAAGGGCATTTCATGTGAAATACGCGACTGATAATTATTTCGAGTGAAAAAGTGACATTTGACTACGGAACTGTTTGTGACTATATACTACCAAATTAAGAGAAATAGTGAAATTGCATTAAATGCTATAAGCATTCTATTCATGAACATGGTCCAGAAGAGGGAAGTAAAATTATTGTTTCAACTCGCTGTATTTACATTAGTATTTAAGCCCCGATTTTGTGAATAACTCTATAGCATTTTTTTACATTTTGATACACATAGCAAAAGAGGGAGGAAAAGGTCTGAATAGAAACTGTCCCTCCCAGATCGTTCAGCATGACTGCAATACCGATGCAGACAAAACACAAGACAATCTGTTTTTGCTTTTTATTTTTTATTACCGCGAAACTTTGTTAAGTTAGACGGCGCTACTTATGTTATTAACGTGGTTTATGGGATAAATATTATTTAAACGTTAAGTCATTTTAGCGTTCACTTTAGTGTGATCAGTTGAATATAAATAATTAGTAAATTAACAATTTGATTTCTTAAACTGAAAATGTTAATTGTGTTAAGGTTCAGTTTGTGTTGTTTCTGTTCGAAGTTGAACACCAAATACTAATACTAACAGTAGAATATAAGTAAAAAGTGAAGTGTAATTCTGATGTTACTAATAGTAATAAGATTTTATTTATTCCATTAATAACTAAGTTTAAATATATGGCACGCCTCAAAAAAAAAGTATTTAGTATAGAACTTATATTTACAGATGCTAGCCTAATTTGTTAAGAACTCAACTTCTTAAGTCTAAGACGGTAAACAAAAATTAAGCCTTTAACTTTTAAATTTAAGGCTAACTTAGGCCGAGTTAAGACTGTCGATTAAACGGATTATTTGTTTTTTACTACCAAAGTCAGTAAATTTTGTACCGACGCTGGCCACAATTTTTAAATAAGCGTAGGTAATTGTTAATAGAAACTTTTGAGTGACGTTGAAGAAGAGTGTATAATAATATATCAACCACACTATATCCGTTGTAACTTAGTGTAACTGTAACTTGTAAGTGCAAGCATATTCACTTGCGACGAGGCATGTAAAACTACAAGTTTAATCCACTTCCACAGTATCAGGGTTCTTCAGGCTGTCTGGGATATGATAGACATAGCATTAATACCATTACTAACAGTAGTAGTGGTGGTTGAGATGCTACACGTTTTAGTACTTCAAGTTAACAATAAAACGAACATTTGTGTTTAAAGGGGGAATAAGGAATCCATCATTTCTGTTGTTTCTAATGTAACAAAACTAACAGAACAATTATTAACATATAATTTATTTGAACTTGAAAGTCGTAAGAGTATCTAATTGAATCTCTTTTTTTTTAAAGTTTCTTTTACCCCATCTCCTAATCAAGGTTCACGTTCTTTTCTTTGCATTTTCACAACTGAAGAAGATGAACAATATGTTACCACTACATCTTTATTATGAATATGTTAACAAAAAGAATATGAACTTTGATCATTGGAGGTTTCTTTTAAAAATGCAACTTAAACTACAAAGTCTTGCTCTTGTTCTATTTCTTAATGGCAGTGTTGTTTAAACTGGAAAATCTGTCATGTACTTTCATGTTTTGGCCCTCATGCCCAGTGTCAGTGTCAACATAAATGACTGGTGTAAAAACACATACAAGAGTCACTGGGCTTGATGTTTTTGTTAAATTTAGTTCAACACTATATAGAAATTGAGTAAAATGATTCAATTTAGGTTAATTTTTCTACATTTCAGTTATATTATTTAATCAAAAGAAAAGTATATATGTGTATCTCTAGATACAAATGAATAAAAACTCTATAACCTGAGCACTTTCAAAAGGTGGACCTTTCTTCTTCAGGGTTCCCAGTTTGCCCTTGAAGAAGAAGAAAGGTCCACCTTTCAAAAGCACTCGGGTTATAGAGTTTTTATTCATTTCTATCAAGACTTCTTGAACCTATGTGTTTTTCTAACATCATACGTGTAACTCTATTTAATGTTTTTTTCAATTGTAGGGTTAACTCTTCAGAGTGAGGATCTTAACGTAGTAACATCTTGTCATTTTGGGGTATCGGTCTGATATTGGCTTAGGCCTGGTGGTTTCATTGGGGTAGATGTGTATCTAGCAGGAAAACTGAGGTAAAAATTGATGTTATTTTCAATAACATTTCAGGTAACTCACTAGATCTAAGGTATAAACATTGCTATCAGCATCAACACTAGTATGTAAACTTATTAAAACACCTCAACAATTGACATTTTATAAAATTCATGCACAAAATAGTGATTGATTTGCTATAGAAATTAATTTGTAATTATTGCAAGTTAATCATACCAGAAACTGTTATAAAATTAGTACACAAATAATGTCTAAAAAGGTTCTTTAATGCTAATATTTAGTGTGGCCATCTTTGTCACCAGTAACAGCTTGATTTGATTGTATTGCTACATGCAAGAGCTGAAGAACCAATGGAGAAGAAAGGATACATTTAGAGCTTTGCGGGATGTTCGACCATAGTCATCAGACAACATACACAAAAAAAGATTGAGCTGCATATTTTCCCATTTCATCAAACTTTTTTTTGCCACTTTATTCTCTGAACATGAAAGGAGTACAGTGTGATAAGTAGAATAAGAAATGATTGGAGGACTAACCTGAAGCCCAGAACTGTTTCTTCATCAGCACTTAGTTAATACAACTTGTAGAGAGTTATCAGAAATTCTACCATATCAAACATTCTAGGAATTGTAGAAAAAAATCTAACAAAAAAACACCAGAAAATGACTGTAGCAACCGAATCCTCTGATTCACAATAGATGACTTATATACACGTGTTTACACGTATACATTGAACTGTTAAAAAATCTTGACAGGTATGATGGGTCATTTGATATACAGATCAAGCAAGTTTGGGTTAACAGATACCTACCAAAAATTTAAATTCAGTCACTGATTTTTTTTTACGAAGATCAATCAGCTACCATATTCTGTGAACAAAGGTAGCTTAATGGAAATTGAAACGTTAAAAGGTGTCTGAAAAAAGTAAAGAATCTCTTGAGAAACTAACTCATCTCATACTTAGACACCTTTTTATGAACCAGCCATCATTCAGAAATGCAGTATAACCCCTTCAGTTATTTGGTCTCAGGCATGTATACATCTGTGAAATAATAACATTAATTTTACTTAATGCACTTTAATGAGAGGCTATTAAATAATGTCAAATGGTACATGTT